GCTAGAGGGCCTGCAGTCGCCATCAAAACGAACGGGCCCAACCGCACTTCGCCCCCACGCGGGGGGCTCCAGGCGGTGTGGCATCTGCTCCGACTGTTTTACGGCCACCTGTCCTTCTCCCTCGGCCATTGCCCTTGTCAGCTCGGGGTGGACGGTGCATTAAGTACTGATGCAGGAAAGGGCACGGAAAATACAGTTCAGGTACAGCGTTCGGGGGAGGACTGGGAAACTGGAGACTATCCGAGGTCGCCATAACTCGGAATCTGGCGCTTGTTTAAAAAAAAAAACAAGGAAGGGGAGAGCTGCACTGCCTGGCAAAACTTCTACTCCGCTCATCTCTACCATCACTTCACCCTGCGTCCTATGTCCCTCTCACAGTCCCCCCTCGGCGCAGTCCCGTACTGCCTCTTGGCCTCCTGCACCGTCCGCTCCTTCACGGGGATGTTCCTGATCTGCGCGCACCCGGGGTGGATCGTGAGTTGATCCCGAGCTTTCTGCTTCCCTTGCGCAATCCTGTCCTTGTTCTTCTTGACCCTGATCGCGGCGTTGGAGCCGAGCCTCTCGATGTCTGGCTGTTTCGCAACTTTCTTGTAGTACTGCTCCTGCACCTTCTGCGCCTCGTCCGTCGTGTCCTGGCCTAGCTTCTTCATCGCCTTGCTGTGTACAACGAGGTGCCGCCGTCCCAGGCGGCCGAGGTCCCCGTTGTCGTCGGTCTCGGCCTTCGTCGTGAGGGCCTGCGCGTTCTTGTTGCAGTTCGCCTCCTTTGGCCATCCCGCGGTGGTCAGCAGCGGGTCCGCGTCCACCTCCCACGTTTCTACCACGGCCAGCTTCAGCTCGGTAGTGTCGTTGGTCACGATCAGGTACGCCGTCAGCTGCCGCCAGCGGTCCCTGCTCTCGTCGTCCTGGTACCATTTCTTGTTATCCCGTCTTTTCGGTTGGACCTCGGCTCCCTCTTTCGACCCTGCCCGCGTCGGTGCCTTGTCGAACATGTCCATGCTTTCGGCTTGTCCTCGGTCTTGCACGGTCCTCTTGTTGATCGAAATGGTTGCAGACCGGGCATATCGAAGCGAAATTCGTCTGCTCGAACTTGGTCCTCTGGAATCTCCTTGATATGTGCCCAAGTTCGTGCGAATTGTGTTCCAGTGCCTTCTCCTCGGTCTTACGTTCACCGAAGCACTCCAGGTAGGTGACGCCCGCGGGGGCGATCTTCTCCCCTAGCACTCCCCCTTCACCACCAGGTCGGCTCCGAAAAACGGTCCACACCTGTATCCTCGGTTGTGAGGTAGTAGCTGCCCAGGAATCTCTCTTTGTTGTTGTCCATGCCTGCGTCCTGCTATGAGTCTGGATTAAAATCCCATTGATACCTGAACCCTCTGTTCCATGTTTGCCATAGTTATTCCAGCACTCGTGTTGTTACTTGGTCATCTGATAAGTGTGTGTGTGTCTCGTACTGTATCATGCGATGCCTCTCGTAGGTCACTTCGTTGTGTCAGTAACTTCGCTCGATCCTCACGTAATGCAGTAAATACTGCGTCTCGTACTCCATGATCTGCAGAGTGTCTGTGCGATATCTCCTTCATTATTTCTCTCAGCTATGTGTGGTACTCGTCGATGTCCTTGTCGTACGTCTTCATCGTGGATGCCGCGATGGCATGGTTGAGCTCCTGAACGAACCCAATGTTGCGGGTGACCTTCTTCGTCGGCGCATCGTTGTCCCTTCCACGTGGGCGCAGTTCTCGTCCACTTTCCAATCCCGTTCGTAGATGAAATACAGCATGGCCTGGGGTCTCTTGTAGTCTGCTGCCCAGTCTCGTCGGCGGGCCTCTCAATTTCCAGCTTGAACACGTTCTCAGGGGTGCCGAGATGTCATCTATGTTCGTGACGCCTCCGTCCCCGAAAAAGTTCGGCCTACAAGTTCCTCGCGTGTTCGCGATGGTCATGTTATTTTCTCAGCTCGTAGTCGGACCTGTTAGCCTGCTCCCCGTTGTAGTTGTTCCGTAGTTGCTCCTGCTTTTGCGTAGCCTGCTGCCTCTGCTGTCCCCTCTATCACATGCCTGCGTCTCTGATTCTCCGTGAGGGCTGTCACGTCGAAGTTGTTGCACTCCCCTGCGATCTCCACCAGTCTGTCCTGGCAGCACGGCAATGGATTGAATTGCCCGATGGATAAACACGCGGCTGATCTCGCAACCAAACAGACCAGCGCCCTCATTGCGACCACATGACTCCTCGTGAGCTGCGGGGTTGGAAGCGGATCTAGAGAGAGCTGCCTGAATTGCTCGGTGGGCGAAATGGAAGCTTAGGAGGAGGAGGAGGAGGACGAGCGACGAGCGACAACGACGACGACGACGATGACGGCGACGACGACGACGACTGCGGACCAAACTCCTATGCGGACACCTATGCGGATCACGGTGCGCACGGCGGCAGTGCCCGGAACGCACTGAGGGGGGGAGCGTTACGTCATAGGGGGGGGCCGGGGGCCATGACGCCTGCCATGCCCCAAGAGAGAAAGAAGCACGCTCCAAATGTTCTGAAATAATGTGCGTGGCGTTAAAGCGAGAACCGCATTCTGAAAACCAACCGCCCTCAATTCGCGAAACTCTTGCACATGTTCTAAACGAATGCGCGCGGCGCTAAGGCGAGAACCACATTTTGAAAACCACCCGCCGTCTATTCGTGAAACTCTTGCACATAGTCTAAACAAATGTGCGCGGCGCTGAGGCGAGAACCACATTTTGAAAACCACCCGCCCTCAATCCGTGAATTAAAAACGGACGCGCGCGGCGCTAAGGCGAGAACAACATCTTGAAAACCACCCGCCCTCCATCTGTGAAGTTGCTATCACTGTTTGAACCTCAGAACCATACATGGTAAGGAGATCTCAGACGAAACGACCGGCCCGCCCTACAACCTGGCCTCGGAGTGCGACAGGGAGAAGTTATGTATAAGGAAAGGAATGGAGGAGAAGGAGGACGAGGAGCAGGAGGAGTAGGAGGAAGAGGAGGAGGAGAGGAGGAGGAGGAGGAGGAGGAGGAGGAGGAGGAGGAGGAGGAAGAAGAGGAGGAAGAGAGGGGGGAGGAGGAGGAGCAGGAGGAGGGGAAGGAGGAGGAGGAGGAGGAGGAGGAGGAGAGGAAGAAGAGAGAGGAGTGAGAAGGAGAAAGGAGAAGGAGAAGGAGAAGGAGAAGGAGAAGGAGAAGGAGAAGGAGAAGGAAGGGGGGAGTAGGAGGTGGAGGCGGAGGAGGAGGATAAGGAGAGTGAGGAGGAGGAGAGTGAGGAGGAGGAGGAGGAGGAGGACAAGGAGGAGGAGGAGGAGTTCAGCGCAGCAGTGATGAGGAGGAGAAAGAGGAGGAGGAGGAGGAGGAGGGTGGGGGAGAGAATTGGAGAGGTTGAGGAGGAGGAGGTGGAGGAGCTCAGCGTAGCAGTGAGGAGGAGGAGGAGGAGGAGGAGGAGGAGGAGGAGGAGCAGGAAGAGGAGGAGGAGGAGGAGAAGGAGGAGGAGGAGGAGAAGGAGGGTGAGGGAGGAGGAGGGTGGGGGAGAGGGTTTGGGAGGTTGAGGAGGAGGATGAGGAGGCGGAGGAGGAGAGAGAGGAGGAAGAGGAGGAGGAGCAGGAGGAGGAGGAGGACGAGCAATCAGACTCAGTCAGGCACGTGCCCTGGGCCAAGACGGGCAGTGTCAATAGTCTGGCCCGTGCGTCTCCCCCTGTGCGCCCGTGGCGCGGCCAGGTACGAGAAGCCACGCCCGAGAGGACACAGAGAAGGGGGATCGCATCGGCCTCCCTCTCACCTCCCCTTCCTCCTTCTCCTCCTCCTCCTCCTCCTCCTCCTCTCCTCCTCCTCCTCCCCTTCCTCCTTCTCCTCCTGCTCCGCCTCCTCCGTCGCCTCCTCCTACAATCGAAACGCTGTCGTAAGGAATCGGACATAAGGGACGGGGCCCCATTTTCCACAAGTGAGGCCACGATCTCCCATAGAAGCCGGAGGGCAAGCTAAGACAATATGTAAAACACTCAAGGGACACTGACCGCTCCCCAACGAATAAGGTTATTTCTTCAGCGGCCCGACTGTACTCCGCCATCTCCATGTTCTTCCCTGGAAGCTCCTATTTCCCGCTCGTCTTCTCGCACCTTCGGAGTCCAAACCTCGGGCGCGATGCGCGGGACATGGGCGGCTGCGCCGATGCCGCGAGGAACGCGCGACAAGACGAATCTGTTTTGGCCACCGCCGCTACGCGGCCCGTCGTCCGCGTGCGGCGAGTCCACGGCGACTGTGCTTCAGGCGCGGGCCTGCTGCTCAAGCAGTGTCGCCAGTTGCTTCGGTAGGAGGCTTGAACTGAGCACTGCTAGGTACTAGGGATGGTCGAAACACTGCGCCTACGTACTTGGCACGCCCGACATGCGAAGACGGTCGATGGCGAAGACCCCAGCCACTCCCCCCCAGCAGGTGACGTTCGAACCTGAAAGCAACGGCCGCTCCTACACAACCCCCTCCTGCTCCGGATGCCATGTTTCTGCTGATGCTCTGCTGCTGCTCCTGCTGCTGCTGCACCTCCTGCACCTCCTCCTTCGCCTCCTCCTCGGCGCTTGGCGCTGTGGGCATTGGCATCCTCCACGGATGCTGCCATCTCCTCCTGCTCCTGCTCCTGCTCCTGCTCCCTGTCCTCCTTCCCCCTCCTCCTCCTCCTCCTCCTCGTCCTCCTCCTCCTCCTCCTCGTCCTCGTCGTCGTCCTCCTCCTCCTCCTTCTCCTCCTCCTCCTACCCCTCCTGCTCCCCTTCCTCCTGTTCCTCTTCCCCGAACGACAATTTGCTGGGACAAGCAGCCGCCGTGAAACTGACGTAGCTCGCTGCGAAGCAGAAGGCGGATCCAGGCAAACGCAAAAAGGAACTGCTGCCGGCCATCGTCCCCATGTCGGGCGCCTCGATCTATTCCGCCACTGCACAGAGGCACGGGAGCGGGGGCAGGACCAGCACCAGGATGCAGGGGCCAGGACTTCGCCACAGCTACCTCCTAAAACACTGGCTCTCCCCCGCCATGTGGAACGCCCGGAGCCTGGTTCCGACCCTGGCGGCGGGGGGAGGAGGAAGAGGAGGAGGACGAGGAGGAGGAGGAGAAGGATGAATAGGAGGAGGAGGAGTAGGAGGAGGAGGAAGCGGAGGAGAGAAAAAAAGGACCTGGTTCTGCTAGAAATTGTCCTGGCCCGAGGTGTCCCATAGGAGCCCAAGAAACACACACCGATGCCGTTCGCCAGACGACCGTCGAAGCACAGATCCTGCGGGCGCCCCCCGGCACGCGCCCCCGCAAAAGCCTAGTGTTTCCTCGTTTGCTAAACGCGCGAGATCGGCGCATGCACGTGGCCGTCCTGTCGCCCCCTATACTGATGGGCCTGTTTTCACCACCGCCACCATAAGTTGGAGGGGAAGGGGGTCCTCCTCTTCCTCCTTCCTCCTCCACCTCCTCCCCCCCTCCAGCTTCTGGTGGTGGTGGTGGTGGAACACAGGCCTATCATAGACAGCTCCCCACCGAGAACACGGCCGCGGAGGCATCCGACGCGATGCCTTCCTGTGCCCTTTTGGGAGTGTCTTGGGGCCCGGGCGCGGCCCCAGCGGCCCCCAGGAGCGCCCCGCGAGAGCCGCAACAGGCTTCCAGAAGGGGTCCCAGTGAACCCCTGGTCCAAACCGACGGCGCGAAATTCGAAACGAGAATTTCGAATGCCCTGTTGGGGGCCCTTCGGAGCTTCCAAGACGGCCCCGGAGAGTCCCAGGTGGGCCCCCGGAGAGCCACGAGAGCGTTCCAACAGGGACCTCGGTGAGCTTCTGGTTCAATTCCAAGGCGTGGATTTTGAAGCGATCACTTCCAGCCCCCTCTGGGGAACCTTTTATGAGGCCCCTAAAACGGCCCCAGAGGGCCCCATGAAAGCCTCCCAAAGGCCGCGAGAGGGTTCCGAGATGGTTCCATGAATTACCCCCCCTCGATTAATATCCCATCCAAGGTACCCTGCTTCGTTCGTACACGATGGGCAGCTTTTGCTGCACACACTCGACATGCACGAGGGGAGTGCTGTAGCTACGCGTCCGCCTCACGAGCCTTTGTTTTTACAGTCCCCCTCATGCACGAGGGCTGTGCTCTCGCGTCAGCGCCCTCTCACGCACAAGGGAACATTACTATGACAATCGCCCCCATGCACACAAGGCAATGTTGTGAAAAGTCCCCTCATAGAAGAAATAATCGTTGTTGCTATATTCCCGCCCAAGGTTCAGAGAACTGTTGTTGCGATCCTCCTCATGCAGTGTCGGTTTTCGTTTCAATCTAGAACGCCATGCGCGAGGAGACGTCTTTACTACAATCTCTCTCTTGTACAGAGGGACAGAGGGGGCAAATTCACAAGAAACATCCTCGTGCACGAGGGTGCACTTTTTGCAGTCATCCCATTCGTGAACGAGGGGCGACTTTTCATTCCAGGCCCTTCACTGCCTGCAGACACTTTTGCCAGTCCTCCCTCGTGCGCGGCGGACCGTTTTTGTTACAACCTTCCTCCGATCATACACGAGAGACCGCTTTCGCTGGAATCCTCCCTCATGTACGAGGAACACTTATCGTTACAATCCCCTCCACTCATGCGCGAGAGACCGTTCGGTGACATCGCCCCCGTGCACCAGAGACCGTTATTGCTACAATACCCGCGCGCGCACGAGGGGCAATTATTGCTACAAGTCGTCCTCTCACGCACGAAGGACAGCGATTGCTGCAAATGACCCCAACCCACGAAAGACAGTTCTTGCCAACCCGCACCCTCTAATCCAAGCAACACCAAGGAAAAGCCCAATCATGTGTTTGAGGACATCGCGATGTCTCGGAGTCGTTTTGGCCCCCCTTCGAGGCCTGACCGAAGCCCCCGAGAAGCATCCAGAGAGGCCCCAAGAGGGCCTCACGAGAGCCCTGGGAACTGCCACTTTCATGGGCGCCGGAAGTGACAACTCGAAAGTGCCTCCTGGGGCCCTTTCAAGCCTTCTCGGAACCCTCCTGAGGCTCTCCCGGGGTCCCAACGAGGCCTTGGAAAGCCCCGAGAAACACACAAAGGTTCCAGAGGGCCCAGTGCCGGTAGAGGCGTCACTACCCAAAAGGTTTTGCAAGCCTGCCGTGGTCGGGGTTTGGGCAAGGGCTGGATATGGCGTTGACGACAAGCGTTTCCACGCGATTCGTCGTGAAAATACACGCCACAACCGAAATAACGGTGCACAATGAAAACTGACGCCGATACAAGGGACATCCCACCAGCCCTTTAGGGCGTAGGTGGTCTAAGGTGTTATGTCTTCCATCTGCCCCTATTCCCTTTCGTGGAGGGGTTTACCACTGTTCCCTTTTAGTATATACCCACTCCCCCAGGCGACTGGGAGCCAACCCAAGTCGATGAGGGCACTCCTTCACCATCCCTTGTAAAAAAACAATGCAATCACGCTCTGCCTCCAAATTCGGAGCATGCGCAGCGAACCCGATGCGGCCCCCCCACACCATCCCTGTCAAAAAACAATACGGAATACACTTGGCGGCGGCGGCGGCGGCGGCTGCGGTGGCTGCGGCAGGGGCAGCGGCTGCGGCGGCTGCGGCGGTGGCGACGGCGGTGGCGGCGGCGGCGGCGGGGGCGGCGGCGGCGGCGGCGGCGGCGGCAGCGGTGGCGCAGCGGCTGCGGCGGGGCAGCGGCGGCGGCGGCTCTGCGGCGGCTGCGGCGGGGGGCAGCGGCTGCGGCGGCTGCGGCGGTGGCGGCGGCGGCGGTGGCGGCGGCGCCCGGCGGGGGCGGCGGCGGCAGCGGCGGCGGCGGCGGTGGCAGCGGCGGCGGCGGCAGCGGTGGCGGCAGCGGCTGCGGCGGCGGCGGCTGCGGCGATTCGGCACCGGGGGCGACGGGCGCAGCGATTCGGCAGCGGGGGCGGCGGGCGGCGGCGGCGGCGGCGGCGGCGACGGACGGCGGCGGCGGGCGGCGCGGTGGCGGTGGCGGCGGCGGACAGCGGCGGCGGCGGCGGCGGCGGCGGGCGGCGGCAGCGGCGGCGGAGGCGGCGGCGGCGGCGGATGCGCCTCCAGATGCTGCCCATCCAAAGACGACTGCTGAATATGCTGCGGCTCGGGCCAGGCTCGGGTGCTACGTATGTGTTGGGAGGGCGGGTGTGAGTGAGCGGGACAGCTTGCGGGCGGGGAAGGCGTCTTGACCCCTCCCCCTACCACCTCCCCCGGACCTGGACGGGGGATCCCGCGAGGGGTTGGCGTTCAAGATGGCCCAAGATGGCTCCAAGAGCGCCTCGGAGAGCCCAAGATGAGTTCCAATATGGCTGGAGATATCCCAAGATACCTCAAGATGGCTCCCAAGATGGTCCAAGAGGCCCCAAGATCGCTCCAAAATGGCTCCAAGTGGCCAAAGAGCTCCCCAAGAAGGCCCTGAGGAGGCCTACATCTTTCCAAAAGCTACGGGAAATCAATGTTGTGTGCTTCTTCGCCTTTTCGCTTCCGATGGCCATCCGAGGCTTCAAGATGCCTCCACGATGGCCCGAGAGGGCTACAAGAGAGGCTCAAGAGAGCCCCAAGACGGCTCAAGAGCGCTCCAAGAGCGCCCCAAGAGCACCCCAAAAGGGCGATTTTGGGAGCTCCCGCTGGGCGACGCTAATTGAAACTCCCCTCTTTTTTGATCGATGTCCTCCAAGATGGTTTCAAGAGCGCCGCGCAGGCTCCCAAGAGCGCCCCAAGAGGGCCCCAAGAGGCGCCCGGGAGGCTCCAAGAGGCGCTCAAATGGCCTTCAGGAGGCTCCCAAGAGACCCCCAAGATGACCCAAGAGGCTCCCCGAGGCACCCGAGACGCTTCAAGAGGCCCCTGGGACCGCCACCAGGCCCCCAAGTCGCAAGAGAGCCCCAAGAGAGACCCAATACGGCCCCAAGAGCGCCCAAGAGTGTCCCAAGAGCGCTCCAAGATGGACCTTTCCTCTGTGTGCTGCCCAATTCCCTGATCGAGGCAACTCCTCTGGGCATCTTCTCCGGATGGGCTGGTGGGGCTGCGCAAAGCGTCTAGAATTCAAGCATACACCGAATCTGCTGTACACCGATGGCAAAAAATGCTGGCTGGACAAAACTTGTTTCGCACGAGTTCGCTCGCGGGCGCGCGCGAACGAACCCAGCCAAGGTTTGCAGCGCCAGGTGGCGCCACCTTTCCCACTCCTCGCCCCCGCGGGTGGAAATCAGGGGCCGACCGTCCTGGCATTCCTATAGGCCTACCACGAGATTTTCTTGGAACCCAGCAATGTTCTAAGAACAACAACAATGTTCTTATAACATAAACCCGATGCGTCAAAACAAGACAGCCCCAGCCAGAAATGTTCTAAGCACATTTCGCGCAGACCACAGAAGGTTACTGGAACATTGTTTGGTAGGCCTATAGGCACGCCAGGACGCTTCGCCACTGCTTGACAAGGGGCGCGCCAGCGGCAGCCGGTGAACCATGTCGTTCCTGGGAAAAGCCAGCACGGCTCTGGGGGGCCCACAGGAGCGCCTCAAGAAGAGGGCCCTGGGAAGTGTCACACTCACGGGCGCTGGAAGTGACGACTTCAAGATCCTTCTGGGGGCCCTCTCGAGACTTCTCGGGACCCTCCTGCAGCCATCCTGACGTCTCGAGGCCCTGGGACGGCCCCGAAGAGCACCCATCGGGCTTCAAGAGAGCTCCAAGAAGACCTCGAGATGGCCTCGAGAAGGCCCCTCCTAGATGCTCCCGGCACTGCGTTTCGAGAGGCTTCCAGGAACGGGAAACCTAGGGGGGTCTCTCCTAGGCTTCTCTCGGGCCTTCTTGGAGCTCTCTCCGAGCACTCCGAAAGGACCCGGGGAAGCATTAGGAGGCATGCAAGAAGCCCCAAACAGGCCCCAAGAGGGACCCGAAAAGGTCCCAAGAAGGCTCCTCCCGGAAGCTCCGGGCGCTCAGTTTTGGAAGGCTTCCTAGGGACCTAGGGGCGCATCTGGGAAGGAGGCCTCTTGGAGCTCTCTCGAGCCTTTTTGGAATTGTTCCGAAGCTTTCCGAGGGGCCCGAGGAAGCCCTGGGAGGCCTCCCAAGAAGCCCTGGAGGGCTTCACGAGAGGGCCTGGTGGTCGAGAAGAAGAAGAAGAAGAAGCTCATCTCACCAATGGGTACCCCCGCGCTGGCGCGAGCAAATCGTTGACTCGAGCGTCCCGGCAGTTCTTTGGCAACAGTAGTCTGGAGAAGGGGGGTGAAGAAATCTTCCTGGGGCGTAACACCCGTCTGCGAGTGTGAGGATGATTGCCCCCCTTGGATCAGCGGGAGGGCGAGGAGGGGGATTCTCGCGCGCTGTCAGAAGGGGGCAAGGGAGGAGATGGCGCAGTTTTGAAGGTCTAATGGGCCAGGACGACGACGCAAGGGCAAGAAGCCGCGCAAGACGACGCTGCCTGGGCAGATATGACGGAGGACTTCTTGGATTTCTGCGAGTGAGCACGCCCGCCGCTTCCTGCTTGCACTGTAACTTGTTTTTCCCTCGCGCCCTATATGGGCCCGCCCTCGTGCGAGCGGGGTGACTTGACTTGACTTATGGGCGAGGAGGGCGAGGAGGGGGATTCTCGCGCGCTGTCAGAAAGGTGAGGAGGAGGAGGAGGAGGAGGAGGAGGAGGAGGAGGAGGAGGAGGAGGAGGAGGATGGCACCGTTTTGAAGGTCTTATGGGCCAGGAGGATTGGCCAGATGGCATCGGCAGTCCGCGGGGCGGGCTCGGGAATTTTTTGGGGCGGCCGTGGGCGGGAGAGGATGACATGTCGATTCCCCAAATCAGTCCTTGCAGCGGAAAGGTGGTTCTTCTGCGGAGATTGGGAAGACCATGCGAAAATACCTCCTCCTCCTCCTCCTCCTCCTCCTGCTCCTGCTCCTCCTCCTCCTCCTCCTCCGCTTCCTCCCCCCACTCCTAGCCCTTTCGATCAGGGTCGGCGGCACCGGCCGTCAGGCCATTTCGATACGCGGCCAAGTCTCAGGGCTTTTCTAGTTCAGGACCCTCGACCATGGCATTCCAGGGCCCCAAGGAGAGGCCCAAGCGGAACCTTTCTAGAATCACGAAATTGCCATCTGGCGTGAGGCCATCTGGCGCCAGGCCATCTTGTTGTGACTCCGCTGACCCACTCTCGGGGCCCTCCGAGGGCCTCGGAGGGCTCCACGATAGGGAGGGGCTCGGAGGACCCGCACTGGGGGAGGGGGCGGGAGGGCCCCAGGACGTCCCAAGAGAGGCCCAAGAGGAGCCAGAACGAATCGAATGGGGAGCCCTCTCGCATGACTTCAGCTTGTCTCCTCTTGAGCCGCTCCTGGGTCCTCCCAGGGTTCCGCTCGAGATCTTAGGAGGGCTTAGGTATAGCTCTAAGAGGGTTCAAGCCATTCCTAAGATGACCCCTTCCAGATGCTACCAGGCCTTCCGAAGCGCAGCGCCAGGAACATCCAGAACAAAGACCTTCTTCAGGTCCTCTTGGAGCCTTCTGGGGGGGCCCTTTTCAAGTCCGCCCTCCTTATCCCACTCTGGCGCCTCGTGGTTCACGTATGTATGACTCCCCGACCTCTACCTCGCCCCTTCCTCCTCCATTCCCTCGCCCCGCTCCTAATTCTCTGTTCATTACGTTGGCTTGGCCACAACCTTCAGTGGATCGCCATGTGAACAAAAACTGTTCTAACCCCACGAGTTCGGTGGCGGTGCAAGCTTGTTGGACTCCAGCTCTTCGCGCCATTTTGGAGCCCCTGGGGCAGCGGTGTGAGGGTGCTCTGGATGCAATCTGGCCTTCCCCGGGGATCCTCGGGACACCTTGGGTCAAGGACATCGTTGGCAACACCCGAGAGAAGGCGGCCGATGGTCACGGCCAGACTAAGGAGGTCGAGAAGGATGGGGACGGTGAGAATGAACAAGGAAGAGGAGGAGAGAGGAGGCCGAGATCAGGTGCAAGGCGGGAGGAAACGAGACAATGGAGACAGGGAGCCGGCTGGAGAGAGGGAGTCATGTTCCCTTGTGGTAGCCCACTGCTGGCGAACCATTGGCAACACATGCGCCGAACATGAGTTAGCAAATGATGTAGAGACAAGTTGCCCTGTTCTCAGTCGGCCAGCGTGATTTGGTCTGGTCGGGCGTGTGAACGATCTAGCGAGACGCATGCACGCATCGCGCGCGGGTGTTTTCGCGAAAAACAAGCACATGCCATAACAGGCTTGGTGCCCTACTGAGTTCCCAATTGAAGCCTGGGCGGGGGTCCTAAACGCAAATGGTTGGGTGTGCCTCCAACGAAGAAGACCCACGGTCACTATGTAAAGAGGGTGCCCGACATGGCCTCATCGGAATGATGCGGGGACCCCCCCCCAAAAAAAAGGGCCCACACATGGCTCCGTCCTGCTGCCCAGACAGACGCGCGCTTGCGTTACGCGACGCTCCGTGGGGGCGGAAGATGTCTAAAACGCAACAGCCATGACTTGCCATCGCTCGGAAATCAATTCCGCGCGCGTGCTTCGATGTCGTGCCTTGTGCGCTCCTCGATGGTCCCCGCCGAAGAAATGCACGCTTCCGAGCGATGCCGAGATGCCCAACGCTCCCTTGAACGAAGGATTGCAAAAAAACCAAAGGATTGCAAAAAAAAACCAGGATTGCAACAAAAACCCAGGATTGCAAAAAAATCCAGGGTTTTTTGCAATCCTTCGCCCAGGGTTTGTTTGCAATCCTTCGGTTTTTTTGCAATCGACCGCGCCACGCCAGCGGAAAAGACGAGACACTGGACGCGGCACCGACCGGCACGCTGGGAGGTGAGGGCGGAGGCCCAAGCGAGGGGCGGCGCGACAGAGAGAGGAGGGGCAGTCGGAGGACACAGAGAAGAGAGGAGGAGAGAGGAGGAGGAGGAGGAGGAGGAGGAGGAGGAATCGAAGGCGAAGCGAAGAGCCCCCCCCTTGCCCACACACACACACACATACACAAACACAATCACACGTACACTAACACACACACACACACACGCACGCACACCTATGCACACCTACGCACACACACAAACGCACACGTATACACGTACTGACACTCACTCACTCACATACTCGCCCGCAAACTCACTCACTCACTCACTCACTCACTCACTCACTCACTCATTCACACACATACACATACACACTCTCGTTTGGCGTGGCGGCCCCGCGCGCGGCGACTCGACGGGGCGCAGAAAGTCCAGTTAGACAGTGAAGCGCGCGCTTCTACGCCTGGCCGAACACGGAGGGGCCGCCCAGGGTCTCGCACCCGGCAGCAGCCACAACCATGTGGGCATGGATGGCGGAGAAGGGCGACGAGTAGACGAAACTAGGGTGATGGTGGACTGCGACATGAGCAAACTGGGAGTGGACTGCTCGAAAAGCGAATAAGAAAGTGTGGACCGACGAAGGAGTGCGTCAATGATAAATGAACGACGGGAGAGCGAGCTGAAGGCGGCGGGGCCGCAACACATCGCACATACGTGTGTATACGAAACGAAAAGACGAATGAGACAAGTAGAGGATGGAAAGAGGGTGAAAGGGATGATTGAAGAAGGAAACAGGACGCACCGAACGCAAGGTACCATGTACACAGGAAACAGGACGCACCGAACGCAAGGTACCATGTACACATATATATATATATGTAACAATAACACGAGGGCGAGGATACAGGAAGAAGAAAACAACAACGGCCCAAACACGAGCAATTGTTTGGTTTGCGGCGTCGTGGGCACAACAAGCTGCACGGCAAGCGGTCGGGCTGACGGCGGGAAGCGTTCGTAGCTAATCGCGGAACACGCAGAAAGGAAGGATACGACGGGAGAAAGACGCGGCCGCGTAACGGCCAGAGAGCTCTCAAATCGTGTAGATGCTCAAAGATGCTCAAGCACAGACACAACATGCAGGTCGGGGCAAACTCGGGGGCCCACGAAAGACGCACGCACCAAACAATGTACATGAATACGGCTGCCCAATCCGCGAAACCAACTTCGTGATACGAGCGTTCGCGAAATGCGTATGTTCGAAACCAACGTTGGTTCATGTACGAGTACGTCCTTCTCCCGCTCTTGAATCGGCGGGGAGCGAAGGGGGAAGTGAAAAAAGATGACGCCTTCTCAGAAAACGGGGGCGCCTCTCCATAGCCCTGCGGACTTCTGGAGCAGCCTCCTTCGTCTTCGAGGCGGCCCTCGGACGCTTCTCGGAAGGCCAGGGGACTTCCGAGCCTCCTGCAGCGGCCACCCCTTCTTCACCTCTCCCCCCCGGGTTCGCCGCCGACTGAAAGCCAGGGCGCGGCAGGGCGCGCGGCGCGACTCCTGATGTTCGCCTCCTGGTCCACGAGGAAGCCCGCGTGTGGTTGGTCCTCGCCCGCCGGGCCGCGGACGCACGGCGGGGGACGCGCCGCGGCGCCCCCCAAACCGACGTGCCCCCAGGGAGGCTGGTCCAAAGCTCACGGCGGCACCCGGCAGGGCAAACACTTGCATAGGACATGCGCTTCAGGTGCGATCTCCCGACCGAGCCGATGCATCCCTCCTCCATCCCTCCTCCATCCCTGCCCCTCCTCCCCCTCCTCCTCCTCTCCTCGAAGTTCAAGACTCCCCCTCCTCCCCCTCGAAGTTCAAGACTCCCCCTCCTCCCTGCCCCTCCTCCCCCTCGAAGTTCAAGACTCCCCCTCCTCCATCCCTGCCCCTCACCCCCTCCTCGGCGGCCAGCGGTGGGCGCACTGTCGAGCAAAGCAAAGCCCCCGACCGAGCTCGCGAGTCATGCCTGCGTTGTTTTGTTCAGCCCTCCCCCCCCTCGACCTTGTCACCCATCCCTGCTACTGCGGTCGCTTCCCCTTGCGGTTCAGAGGACCTTGAAGTCTGCGCCATCTGCGTAATCTGCACGCCGCTGAGGTTGGACATTGAAGCCGCCGCCACTGCCGCTGCCGCCGTCTCCCGAGTCGGTGGCCGGGGCGGCGACGACAGTCGCAATGCCGAAACGCGCCCAGCATTCAGCAAGATAGGAGGGTGCGAACCCGACTTGTCTGGCTGCTGTTCTGGGGGACCTGTGCTGAGGGAGAGCCGCAGCATCGCTCAACGATGTGCTGTCAACCGAGCCTGTAGGGTGGGCCTTTCCTGTTCGGTGCAGTTTAGCTGTGGCTTTGGTTTCAGCCGCGAGGAGGGGAGGAGGGCGACGACCAGACGACAGCCAGAGGGACGAGCAGGACGGAGAGCAAACAGGGGAACGACGCAGGACGGCGGAGGACGGGAAAACGATACCACCACGTAGGCAGACGGGCGAGGGAGCCAGGCCAATGATGAATTTGTTGACCACAGACCGCCAGACACGTGGTAAAACACAGATCGTACAGCAATATCCGTTTGCTGATCTATGACATAATTGGTATGGGCAAAAAGAAAAAGCAGGGAACATAGGGGGGGGGCTGATCATCGAGAAAGAGCACACACATGCACTGCAGCTGAAATTTCGGGCCACTGTACGCCACTCTTCTCCAGCCAAGTCACTAGGCCGCGCTGCGCGCGAACGTATATACCTTGATTTCCAAATCCATCGCATGCACTTGTATTGTATCATACAAAGGAACTGGGGCGGAACATGCATGTTTTCAGTGGTCGTCGTTCGTTCGGCATGCGGGCGATCTGGCCCAGCAGCCGCGCCACCGGCAACGGATTATGCCTCACCGCTCTTCCAACCCACCTTTCACATGGATAGCTTCTCTCACTCCCTTTGGTTTGAGCAGTGATTTCGGCCACTTGGGAGCCCCTTGCCGCCAGGAGGGTCTTCTGGAACCATCCTGGGCCGTCTTGAAAGCCTCTTGAGCCGTCTTGGGCCAAGAATGGGGTCTTCTTGGGCCATCTCGGCATGAGATTGGGACCAGCTTGGCCTCTCCTGCGGCCGCCCTGGGCCGCCCTGGAAGCGTCGTCGGACCGTCTTGGACTGATGGCTCGCCTGGAGACCAGCGGCGTCTGCCGAAGGCTACGGGGAATCATGTGGAAGGGCCAAAAGGGCTTCGCAAGTCTCGCGCGCCAAGCATTCTTTTGCACGTGAAAGGACGCGGCGGGCCAAGACACCTATAGCGAATCACCGTCGCCCCCTGGAAGCGCCCATGCGGCACAGCGTTGGGCCGAAAGTATTGGACTATGTGTTCCCCCAGCCGTTGTGGAACCCCTCGGGGGGACCCTGGGGAGAGGAAGAGAAAAGAAGAAGAGGAGGAGACAGAGGAGAAGGTGAAGGAGGAAGAAGAAGCGGAGGCCATTGTCCAACTGACCCGAGGAGCGGGAACCGTTTGCCGGCGGCGAGGGGGGGGGGGTTCGAACCTGCAGTGACCCACCCCCTTTTCATGATGGACTGGGGGTGGGTGGGTGGAGGGGTTCGAACGGGTAGGGACCCCCCCCCGGTTTTCGAGGAGGGGGGAGGGAGACGGGTTGGGACCCGCCAGTGACCCCCCCCGGTTTTCTGCCAGCGAGGGTATAGAACGCGCTCTTTCTCAGAACTGCTTCCCCCCCAAATCAATTACAAGAACGTAACATGCTTCGTGTCTCTGGATATAGATGTATGCGCACAAGAAATAAACCATTTCGCAAATTCGACGAGACAACATGCTGGGGTAAATCAAGTCTGCAGTCGATCCCCTACTCGAATGGCAGCGGTGGCAGGGGACTGCAGAAGGGCCGGACAGCGGCGAAGCAGTGCAGTGCCCAGGACCTCCTCGCCTACAGGTCCCGCCCCCCCCCATCCCTGAGCTCATGGCCCCCCTGCCGCTGGCCTTCGGGTGCGTGAACTCGAGCCTCTGGCGGCCGCTCGGGACGAGTCGGGCACCCCCGGAACGTCCTCCGCGAGGCACGGCCGCTGAAGGCAGGCAGGGTAACCTCCGAGAACAGACCTGCCCAAATACCTGGAACCTCGAGACCAGGAACCTCGAAGCGTCGTCCCTGAGGACCCCCAGGACTCGAGCAGGGAATCGACTACAGAATCGATTCACCCCAGAATTGGAATTGCAGTCGAACCTGCGACCAATGCATAGAACGCGCCGCAGATCCACGGATAATTCTGCATGTGTCGGGTCGGGCGAAAGGGGGGGATAGCAAAGGGGGGGTTTGAGAATCAGCTCGCGTAGCTGATTTTCCCGGCGCCTCCCGGCGCCGGGAGGCGCCCATGTATCGAGGAATGGGCCCGGCGGCGGGGAGGAAACCAGCTGCATGCAGCAGATCTCGTACCCCCCCCTTCCCTATCCCCCCCTTTCGTTCGGCCCGAACGTGCCCTGTAGGGTCGGCGAGAAAGTTGATTGAGGTAAATCAAGTCTGCAGCCGATCCCCCCTGCTCGAAGGATAAAACAGGGCTAGGATCGGGATAAATCGCTCCAGAGCGTTCCGGAGCGCTCCCAGAGCGTATCGGAACGCTCTGGAGCAGCCGCGGCGCCCAATACATCCTCCAAACCCGCCGATTCTCAGAGATTCCGAGTTATCCCGATCCGATTTTGCCCCGATCTTCGCGTCGTTTTACCAGCTTGTTTTATTCGGAGGACCAGCCTCCTCCTCCCTCCTCCTCCTCCCTCCTCCTCCTCCTCCTCCTCCTCCTCCTCCTTCTCCTCCTCCTCCTCCTCCTCCTCCTCCTCCCCCTCCCCCTCCTCCCCCTCCTCCGCCTCCTCCTCCCTCCTCCTCCTCCTCCTCCTCCTCCTCCTCCTCCTCCTCCTCCTCCTCCTCCCTCCTCCTCCTCCTCCTCCTCCTCCTCCTCCCTCCTCCTCCTCCTCCTCCTCCTCCTCCCCCCCTCCTCCTCCCCTCCTCCTCCTCCTCCTCCTCCTCCTCCTCCTCCTCCTCCTCCTCCTCCTCCTCCTCCTCCCCCTCCCCCTCCTCCGCCTCTCCCTCCCCGGGGGGCCTCCAGCCACAGCACGTCGAGGCCGGCCGGCTCCGCCCCCTGGGCGCCGAAGGGAGGCCGAGGCCGCTGGGCGGGTGCGCGGGAGGCACACACGTACGGGGCGACCGGCTCGCCCGCCTCCTCGCGTATAGCGGAGAGATCTCACGACGGAGGGCCGCGCTGCTCCCATCGTACGAGGAGGAGGAGGGGGAGGAGGAGGAGGAGGAGGAGGAGGAGGAGGGGGAGGGGGAGGAGGAGGAGGAGGAGGAGGAGGAGGAGGAGAGGAGGAGAGGAGAGGGAGGAGAGGAGGAGGAGGAGGAGGAGGAGGGAGGAGGAGGAGGAGGAGCGCGGGGCCTGCTGGGAGAGCTACGGCAGCATGTCGGGGGCTTCGAGGGGTGCGGCTTTCGGGGGCGGGAAAGGTCCAGGCTCGGGCGAAGAGAACTATGCACATGCACCGATCCTGGCAAGGCCCATCCTCGACCCAGGATCGGTGCATGTGCCTTCCTGGCCAAGGTGGGAGGGCGTATGCACCGATCCTGGGCTCAGGATGGGCCTGGCCAGAATCGGTGTATATGCATAGTTCTTTTTCCTCTACTGGAAGGCCACATCCCAGACACGACTTCGAGCGCCCAGAAGAGTGTGGGAACGGTGTCGAACAGGTATCGCCTCCAAGGGCCCGACACGCATGCTGGAGCATCATAGGCGTAGGCTAAAGATCAAGGCGAAAGCAGGTTGGAACATCATAAACGGAGGGCGTTTGCAACTCTCGGCCCCCGGGGTCCCCCAGGAATGCCCCGGGGTCGTCAGTCAGAAAGCGACTCGGGGCGAGAAGCTGGCCCAGGGGAAGGGGTCCAGGCCTTTGGGGGCCCAAGTCGTGAAAAAGTCACGGCGTCGGAGTTCTGGGATCATACGGATGCGCAGCATGGACGTAAGGCCCTAGGGCGCCCAAATTGGAGCCTAAGTTGGAAGCCCGTGGAATCTGGATACGGGCCAGGAGTGGGCCACGGGGCAAGGACGCAAGAGTACCTCTTGAACAATTGCTCACTGGCATCACGCCTGGACAGGGCCGTCCCGGGCTCTGGCATGGTGAATACGCCCTGGCCGAGACACGGTCTGTACACCATCCTGCGGCCCAGGACGGTGCTGGCCGGGCCCGGTGGTGCCGCAGAGGCACCTCCTGCACAGGAGACGGACGAGGAGGAGGAGGAGGAGGAGGCCGCCTGGGGGGTCCCACGACTCCTCCCCAGAGGCCGCAGAGTGGGCCCCGATGTCGCCCCCTGGCCTTCCCCGTGGTGGCCCGTCGAGGCCCCAGTCTCGCGCTGGGGAGGCCCAGCAGTGCCCGAAAGCGGCCACCGTCAAGTTCCCCCCTGGTCGTCCGCATCGTCGCCATGGACCCCATGCCCGCCTCCTTACCCCGCCCTTCTCTGCTCCCCCGTCATCCCTCCTCCTCGTTCTCCTTCTCCTCTCCGCCCCTTCTCCTCCTCGCCTTCATCGTTCTCCTCGTCGCTCCCCACCTTCCCAGTTCTCCGCCCTCCTTTTCCTCCTCCGCCCCCTCCAACATACACCTCTCCATCTTCCTGTTCCAGCCTCTTCTCCTTTCTCCCCTAACTCCGCATCCTTCTCGTCCCCCCTTCCCCTCTTCCTCCTCCTTCCCCTCGCCCCCATTCCCATCCTGCCCCTCGCCCACCCCCCCTCACTCTGAGTGTCTCTGCCTCAGCTGATGCCAGAAGTGCGCTGAGCAGGAAGCAGCCGCTGACCAGGATCTAACACTGCCAGAGCCTGACTTTCATCAAACGCCCGCTGGCAGGAGCCAAACGCGCTCTAGCAAGAACACAGGTTAGATGGTTCCACGAAGGACCCCGCAGGCTTCCATGAGGCCCAAGTGGGCCATGAGAGCCCCCGAAAGAGCTCAATAAGCTCTCAATGTGGCCCAACCAAATCGGCCCCACGACGGCTCCAACACGGCACATGACCGCCCCAAGATGGCCAGAAGTTCGACCCCTGGGCGACCCGGCTCGGGAGTGCGGAGGGAGGAGGGGAGAAGAGGAGGGGAACGGCGGGGGAGTCACTGCGCCGCGCCCGGACCGCACCCACCTCGGGCCAATCTCTCGGCTGCACGCAGGACGTGACCCTGGGCAAGACTGAAGGGGCCCCAGGACACACAAATAGATACACACAAACAAAACTATTCCCTATATTTCGTCATATTTTCTGGGTTTCTGTCTCCCCCCCACTCTCCATATTTTCCCATATTCTCTGGGGATCGACGATTAATTGTGTCTGTGTGCTTTTTTTCCCTCCTGACTCACCTCGGGCCAATTTTTCTCGGCTGCACGCAGGAGTGACCCTGGGCAAGACTGACCTTTGGCGCGCGGCCTCAGGGTGGCCGCGCGCCAAAGCGGTCATGCAGAGGTTGGGACGCGCGCAGGATCCCCGGTGCGGGCCCGCCCCCCTGACAGAGCGCAGCGGCGACGGGCCACCCGGCGGCCACTCCTTCACGCGGAGCCGGTATCCTTCACGGCGATCACCGCAAGGCCCCCCCCTCTTGGCACGCCCGGAACATGCACGGGAAAGGTTGGCACGATGCCCCACATCAAGTGCTGCCCAGTGCTGGCGGCGGCCGCTGCTGGGCAGCAGGCGGATCTGCTGGTCTCGGGTCTCGTTGGGGCAACGTGCGCGGGGACGCCGGCAGCGAGCCCAATTCAAAGTGGGCACGAGCTGCTGTCGGTCGTCGTCGTCAGCGTTCTTCCCATACCCCATGGCTCAGAAGGAGTGCGTGGAGGCATGAAGCAGGAAGGCAGTGAAAATAGATCGGGCTTCTGCCCACACCCTGAAGAAGTGGGGAGAGTAAATCCATTCGAGTCTTGAGACAGGAGGGCGCCCAAAACATACTAGAAACTGGGAGCCCAACGACACTATCTACCGTCAACCAACGATGCCGCACCAGAATGCCCATGAACGCCTACGCCGCGAACTCACGCAGCGGAAACATGATCGTGGAACATCAGCCCTGCCAAAGTCTGAAGGATATCGAGGCAGCCCCCAAACTGCATGGGTATGTCTGGGAGGCGTCCCAGGGTGTCCGGGTTCGCCTATCACGGCCGCCGGGGACCCGAGCTTTACGATGCGAGCGCTGGGCGGCGAAGGAGCTTGAGGGAGCGGGCATTCTCAGAATCGAAGAACCGCAAGCATGGACATGGATTGAGCAGAGACCAGCCGTCCCGACATTCCTATAGGCCTACTGAGATCCTCTGGGCGGTTCCTTTGTAGGTAGGGGACTTTTATCCTAATTAGGTGGCTCCGCTACCCACTTAACCTCCAAGTTAGCATGCTGATTAAAAAAACGCCATACACGTACTTGGGAATCGTATACAAAGTAAAGGGTTCTTACTTATATACAGAAAGTTAAGAATGGGAAGGGCGGAGGAGGAGGAAGGAGGAAGGACGAGGACGGAGGAGGGAGGAAGGAGGAGGGAGGAGGAGGAGGAGGAGGGTGAGGAGGAGGAAGGTGAGGAGGAGGAGGAGGACGAGGAGGGAGGGAGGAAGAGGAGGAGAAGGATGAAGACGCTCCCCAAACCATTCCAACTCGACAACGGCAACATATTGTCGTTTTTCTCTCCAAGCGCCGATGCATTACTGCGAACAAGTTGGCGCTCGAGATAACAGGACGATCGACCTCTGGTCAATCTCTGCTGGCATGCGGATGCAAGGCTCAAGCAGGTCTACATATCTTACCAAAATATGTGGTTGACCGACCAAGCACACAACGCAGTGACACCTCTTCGAACCTACGGGCCAAACTGACAAACACGTGAAGCACTGGATGCCAACCTTTGCGTGACAATTCACTCGCCCAGAGTGAACCTCACTGCCGGCCATGAACGACACAACGCGCTTTCATTGGATAACCCTGCTGCGCACGCGCACGCCCTACGATGTGTGGACGTCCTCTCCCGACGGAATGCAGAGACACCCCCCCTACAACATGCATGAATTGTTTTGTTGGGACCCTTGGAATTAACAGGTCGACCCCTTACCTCGGGCACGTCAAGTCGTAGAGGGCCCGCACGGTGGCGGATTCCATCAGGCCTTTTTCGTACGACTTCAAGTTGCACGTGTCAGAGGCAAACCTCTTGACTGTTCTCTGTTTCCTCTCATGGAGGAAACGCGAGAAAAGCACTCCATGATCCCTGAGGTGATCTGGTAGATGCAGTGCGTAGTGTGATGTTTGAATCCACGCTTCCAGGACGTACGCGCACTGCTGCGCATCAAGACGCTCGCTGATGAGCTTTCTCTGATGCACGACGCGTGTGTTAACCATGCTCAGAGCGTCAAGCACTTGGACGAGCCTTAGAGCGCATTTGACCGCGGCACGGAGCACTCCTGTAGGCAAGACTCGCGCCACGCAGAAGGACTGGATCACAAGCGTCGCAGACATGCACTCTGAAGCCGACACACCTGGAGAGGCAGTCGGTAACAGCTTCTTGCCAGAAGCGTAAGCTGCTGGCCACTGGAACGCCTTCAGGTACGAATCCACATCTTTCGAAGGGACGCCAATCCCAGCCTTGAAGAGCCTGTCGAACAAATAGATCGGGCTCCTTGCAAGCAATGCCTGACACCAGGTACACGTGCATCCAGCCCCACATCCATGTCGATGCCAGCTGCACTGCAATACCAGTCCTGCAATAGCGACTCTTTGGAATAATTGGAGCCTAGCCGCTGCTGAATGTGTCCCAGTCCGGTCGGACCTTTGGTAGTGGCTATGCTTCGCGCGTGTACCTGGATGGAATGCACGCCATGGTCGCCATGTAGAACAAATTCGAGCGATGTTTTAGATGATGGAACAAGACATCCAGTCATACTTTGATTTAGCCAAGTCGACCAATACGATGTGCAATGTTTTACAAAGGGCGCATGCCTTGTGGCCGCCTGAATGCTTGGTCTCAACGGCAAATTTGGAGGCTCTCTCGTCCAAGCATATAACACAAATGTTTCCGCGCAGCGCTCGGATTCTGCCCCCCCCCCCCCCAAAAAAAATCTAAGGTCACGCCGTGCCGAAG